TTTTTTGTTGAATTTCATTTATTATTACTCAGGGGAAGTGTTTTCGACACACCATTCAAAATTTGGCCAAACTATGGGTCACTATTAGCATAACATTGTACGATTTTCCACAAATTTCCATAAAACTTTAGAGAAATGTGTATGGCTCTCTCTTTGATATAGTTTGTATTGTCTCGCTTTGCCGCGCAGTGGTGCCATTGGTTGCTTTGGCGGCACAATGTGGTGCTGCCACCTGGCGGCGGTTTATGGAGTTGCCTCTGTTTTGTTGACTTTGACTCTGCCCGTCCGGTAACCTCTACGTATCGTATAGTGTCCCTCTAGCGATTGTATTTTTTCAAGTTTTCCTAATGAAACAGCAGAGTCATGCACGAAATTAGCGGCAAATGGAAGAAGCCTACGCCCAGATCCAGGCAGGCGACGCACCTGCAGCATGCGCGAGCTAAAGTAGCGGAAAATAAGGAAGAAGAGCGGGCAAAATCGAGGCCGGCTATGCCTACTACGGCTAATCGACAGACAGTTAGACAGTTAGACTACCTAGTCGACAGAACTGGTGAAAAATTAGGAAAGTTCAAGATAACTGAAGTGAACAAGACGACTGACGAATACATCCTAATGCATTCGAAGAGCTTGCAAGAACAAGCGTCGTTTTTCAAGTGCGATCCATGCCGTACTCCCTTGACTACCACAATCACCAAGAGAAAAGGTTCTGCTGTAAAAGTAATTATGTCATGTCCAGACTGTTCTGAAAAATTTTCGGAAACTTTCAATAGTGCACGAGTAGCTGAGGAAGAATCATCACGTCCCCCATTTGAGATCAATAGGAAATTAGATGATGCATTTGTCTCCACTGGCAATGGGCATGCAGCAATGCAACGCTTTGGAGCTGTTGTTGGTTTGAATGTAAGTGAGGTTATGTTTTTCGGAATTTGTCACTTGAAAGCATTTTGTTATTTTCACCTGACCTATTTATTTTATTTTTTTTAGATTATGGATTCACGCTCATATGCCAATCACCTGAGAAAAGTGTCACTGATTGTGAGTGCCGACGTTCTTAGCAAGGAGGTCCTTCAGAAATCAAGGGAGACAGTCCGCAACCATTACATTGAAAGGGACCCTAGTTTGGCAGACCAGGAAGTGATTGACATTGACGTTTCTTTTGATGGCAGTTGGCATCGGAGAGGCTTCAGTTCTCTGTATGGCATTGCTGCTGTCATTGACATTGCAACGGGTTTGATTGTGGACTATATGTGCATCTTGACAGCTACTGACCTAGGTGAGGACACACCAGAGTATAAAGAGTGGTATGAAGGCCAAATCCAAAGTGGTGAGTGCAATATAAACTACCAAGGATCATCAGGAGGAATGGAGGTTGAAGCAGCTGTTATTTTAGCGGGGAGATCAGTAGAGAAAGCCAAATTCCGATACCTACCTATTTTAGGTGATGGGGACGCAAAAAGTATTAGTGCCATAAACAAAGCTAAACCATATGGTGAGGGTGTGGAAGTCAAGAAAGAAGAATGTGTCAATCATATCAATAAAAGACTGGGAAATGCTTTGCGAGAAGCTGTAAATAAGTCTACTGCAAGAGGAGAGAAATTAGGTGGAAGAGGCGATAACACACTAACTCTGGCTAAAAAGTTCAAGCTGCAAAGGTATTATTCAAAAGCTATAATTAAAAATTCAGGTGATGTAAAACAAATGCAAAAGGCCATAAAGGCTACATTGTATCATTGCTCTTCAACTGACCAAAAACCCATGCATCAGTTCTGTCCCACGGGAAAAAATTCATGGTGTTTTTATAAGGAAGGACTTGCTGAGAAAAAAAAGAAGAAAGATTTAAAGCATGCTAATATTGGCACAAAATTGAGTCAATGTTTTCAAAACATTGTTGCCAATTTATGAAAGAGTGTCATCTACTGAACTGACGAGGACTTACTTTTCCATCATAAGGCTGACCGTATTTGTTATGTACAGTGGCTTATGACTTTTAGTCGGCCATGTGACACTTTTTAGCTCCTTCGTTCAGGGAAGGTAGGCAACACGCACGTCACAAAAACCCGTTTCTAAATAACAACACATCCAAGGCTTCAGTAGTAGTTGCGTCACCGGACTCGTTTTCTGATGGCAAAGGTGGGCGTTTAGCACAAAGTACGGATGGTTTTGCGAATGCCAAAACTGCCACGCACATTGTTGTCAGTGCCAAATTGGTAAAAAATAAAATGTTTTGGTGTGAATCACAATCCCGCTTTAAGAGTACTTATGTGTTCTAAAGATCACGTACTTATAAATGTGTACTAAGTCGGATATTAATTTTGAAGTTTAAAAATGTCTTTAATGGTGCGAACAGTTAACACAAATAGTTATAAAATTGCAAAAAAATGGTTTTCTGCCGTGCGGGTTGCCTACCTAAACGCACTTCAAACCTAACCAATGTTACGGCATGGCATCAGGTACCTTTCAACACACAAAACCTTAATCATGTGCGATAAAACAGCAGCCTTGAAGCCTTAAAAACTGCCAAAAAACGTAGAGGGATCAAAATGACCACTCCGGCCCTTCTAGGTATACGAAAATCCCGGTCCTTCAACAGTGGGCGCTCGCTATAGTTCCGCCTCGGGTTCAGAATTGGACCAGAGGCGGAACTATAGCGAGCGTCTTCCCCCACTCCTTCTCTACCGCTCTTGCTCACACTGCTGGCCGGCTGGCAGCCCGGGGGGAAGGTGGTGGGGAGGAGGAAGAGAGGGGGGCCGCTTCTCGCTCGGAGTGGGGGAACCAGGCCTGGTGGGGAGGGAGCGCCGGCGGAACTATAGAGAGCGGAACTATAGCGAGCCCTCACTGTAGTTGTCAGTTTGGCTTTGGCACTCAAAAGAAACCCTTTCCAAAAATTAGGTTCAAGTAAGCCCCCAAAAGATACCCTTCTAAAAAATTAGGTTCATGTTAGGCACTCAAAAGAAACCCTTTCCCAAAATTAGGTTTGGGTTATACACAATCAAGCAGGCCCGCCCTTCCGCCAAACGAAGTTGCCAGCTCCGCTTCGCCCCGCCGGCAACTCCGTTCGGCAGGGGCCGGGCCTGCTGCTTAGAAAACGTTTTTTGGGGGTGGGGGAAAGTTTCCTTTCTATTTTGCGGTTTTTAGGCCTTTTTCTACATCTTATTGTTCACTATGGCAATTTTTAGCT